AGCTGTAGCTTCAGCAGCTCCTTTGCCACCAGCAGGCCGCACTTTGAAGGGGCACTCAGGGGATGAGCGCTTCAGAATTACTGTGAGGAGGATGTGATTGGCAAGGTTGGCAGGAGCTTGCTTGTGGTCCCTGGCCAGTGGGCCAGGCTCGACAATATCTCAGACTTGTCCACACTCAGGGAGCCTCGGTGGGCAGAGCCCTTGAATCATACCGGAAGATCGGAAAGTCCAATCCTGACTTGATCTCTCAAGTAGAAATCATGTCTCAGCCTGCTTGCAACGTGGACGCAGTAATCCAGTAATCCTCAGCTGGGCGATTGAAAGCTCACGGCTTGTGGTAAAGAGACTGCTTTGGGAGCGTTCTCTGAGTCTGCAGCTCAGTGTATGGCCCGCTCAGCAGGTGAGCTGCTTAGTTGCTGAGAAATGCACTTCCAAGCTTCAGATTAGTCTTTGCTCAGCAAAAGCTGCAAGAGAAGAACTTGTATGACGAGTGGGTTCTGAGAGCAGCTGTCAGGAATGGAGACCGCCTCAAATGGCTCGACTCAGAAGGTGTGCCGCTTACCCTCAGACTCAGCATGCTGAGGTAGTAGAGGATGGAGAAGAAGACTGTTCAGAAGACTTAGAGACTTCAGCTGGGAGAGGACCTCGAGCTGGAGCTCCAAAACAGCCTGTCTCTCAGGCTTCATCCATCTCTAGATGAGCAGGTCTCAGGAGGTTAGCTTCAGCAGATTACCAAGAAGAAGAAGAAAGAGAAGGCTCAGGGAAGGAAGAAGAGAGGCCTGCTCAGGCAAGCCAGGAGAAAGGAGACACTGAGTCGGCCCAGGGACAGCTTGAAGACAAAGAGCAGGCAGGAGGCTCTCGAAGACGCAGTGCCTGAGGCCAGAAGCAAAGCCAAACCAAAGCAGCAGCTAAGAAGGACCTCTCGATCCACCTCCCGTGACTCGAAAGGAGACAAAAAGAAGAATCAGAAAGGGAAATCTTCGGGCAAGCCTTCTCCCGCTGCCGTGTGTGTGTGTGTGTGTGTGTGTGTTGGGATGCTTGCTGTCATCCATGATGAATGCCCCTATCGCTGAGGGGAACCTCATGTCGGACTGGAAGCAAGTGCCTGCCCTTCCAAATGTGCGGTTTAGCTCAAGGGTTGAAGTGAATAAGATACCAGCACGTGGTGAGCAATGGAAAATCGATGACAGACCGCGCGTGTATTCAAAGGTCTACCCAATTGACCACCCTTTCTTGCATGATCAGGTCACAATACATGACGCCAGGCTTGAAGCAGTCATGCTCGCTTACACTGTCAGGCGTGAGTTGGAAGGCCATCCGGCCGCCTGGAAGTACGAGTGTGATAGCGAGATAGGTTGCAAGCATTGCACCCTAAGAAGTCAAAGACCAAGAAGCCATCAAACTCACCTCAAGACCTTAGCCAACAAGCTGGCTGAGGAGCCACGCTGAGCCTCCTTTGGTAGACTCAGAAGATTGTTCCTGGAGAAGGAGGTCACTGTAGCCTCAGAAGAAGCAGGTCAGGCCAGGTATGGAAGGACTGGGAAAGCAGTGTTTTGGAGCGAAGGCAGTCAACAATACCATGTTCTCACTGACAAAGGAGTGGTCTTTGCAAAGCCTCAGTGGCTGCAGCTAAGGAGCAGCAATCCCAAGGTCGAGCCCTTCGTGCGGCCGAAGTGGAGCCAACTTAGCAAGGACAACCTCAACATGTTCCTGGCTCAGCTGGCTGCCTTCCCTCAGATTGGCCTCGCACCCGCAGAGTGGCACCACTCGGAAGTTCTGAAGTGCCGTGAGGAGGAAGGCCATGAGCTGGAGGACCAGCACATTTGGCTAGCTTGATGCTCAGGTGGCACTGGAGAAGAAAGGCAAGGGCGCCTGGCCACTGGACACTTCTCGTGGCTCAAACGCTGGGGAGACGTCAGACTTCGCATGGAGGAGATATGACGAGCATGAGCCTTCCCGTGAATTTCAATTTTCTTGGGCACCAGCTGCCTCAGAGCCAAGCGGCTTCTGCAGTGGATGGAGAAGGAAGTCAGGAGCCTCAAAGGAGAATGGATTACTGAGTGGCCTCTCCAGAGCTGGACGTTTAGGCTCAAGGTTTTGACTGGCAAGTTGCTTCAAGAGCAAGACGCCAAAGCCTCAGAAGCTAAAGCAGTGGCTAAGAAAGTGTTTGATGCTCAGTCAAGTTGCAGCTCAAGCGAAGAAGGCCTCAGAGAAATTGAAGAAGCTCACCAATGTCACATCAGTGGCATACCTGACAGCTCAGGAGCAGCTTGTGAAGAACTCAGAGAAGTTCACTTTACAAGAATCTCAGTTTGGAAGCTGTGGCAGCTGTCAGGAAGCTGGAGTTTGCTCCAGGAAAGTGCTCTAAATGCCGCTGGCAGAGCGGCTGCTTGGATTGCGACGCTCAGAAATGATTCAGGCATCACCTGTTCAAGGAGGCGAAGGCGGCCAAGAAAGAGGCTTTCCTCAGCACAGAACACATGCTGGCACACCTTTCTTGTTTCAAATAGCATTAGATGCTGGGTGGTGGTGCTGGTGGTGGTCGGTGGTAAGTGGTCAGGTTGGTAGAGGTGTGGTGTGGTGACTTTGGAGCATGCGGAGCTGCTGGGACTGGGCCCTCAAAAATAGTCCATTCTTGGAAGGGAACATATTTTCGGGATTTCGGGCAGATTTTTTCTGTAATACCTACCCTTTTTGCTTTTCAGGAGAGTGAATAGTTTTGAGATTTTTTGTATTCACTCCCGTTTTATTAATCGCTATCTAACATTATAAGGGTGGCTTTGCGGATTTTAGGAGCAGTGCTGTGGGAAATGGAGTGCGGAAATCCCAGGCTCAACATCTATTTGTTTGTCTCCCATGTTTGTCAGCCCTAAGTAATGTCCAAAGGCGGTGGTTGGAGGGTGGTTGCTGGTTTCTTTTGCTGACGCTGGTTTTCAAAGGTCTGTAAGCCATCCTTTGTGGTTTCCTTTTGGGGTTTCCTAGGTTCATTCCCGGAGACTTGCTACCGAGAACCACCAAGATGCGGGGGTTGTTTCCTCGGGTAGGATGCTTCAATGGACTGGCGGTTGATCAAAACTCCTGGCCCCAAAATGACCATGGGACACTTTTCTCAGGGTATGGATCAAAATTAAACCACCAGGAATCGGACCGCTGGTTTTAGTCTTTGTCTCCAAGGGCAACCCACTTTGGGGTTACCCTATTTTTGACCACCGCGCCCATTTGTTGTATGCGTTTTTTCTCACATTTCCCTTTGATCGCCCCCTCGAAAAAACTGATGTGTCAAGCGCCTCATGGGGGAATCGTGGTTTCCCCAATGGCCACCCCAATGGTCACCGACCGCCGAACCTGCGCTTGCCGAGGTACCAGGACGGCCTGGCGAAGAAGGAGCTGGATGACGCCGCGGACCGCTTTGAGAGGCGCTGTCTCGTCGCGAGCGGGCGAGCGCCCGGGATCTGGGGATCTCTTGTGGCTGAGTTCTTGGACTCTAAACGTTTTAGGAAGACCATTTTGGTGGTAGATAAGAAGTTTGGACTCTTTTCCTTGGGGGCCATCCACTCGGCAAAGCGAGTTTGGTTGCATGCGCATGTGTCAGAATGCAGAGGACCCTAAAATAGGGGTAATTCATCCGTTTGGTTTAGCTTTAAGCCAACTTGAAGGGGTACCTTCAAAGACACACGCTTGGGAAGGAAGGAACATATGGGGGGAAGGTAATTTTGAAGCGTATCCGAGCCCCACAATGTTACCTTAGCTGCCTTTGCCAGGGGAAATGCATAATAAACAGCCGTTGGCATCACAAAATTGACATTGATAATTGCTTGATCACCAGCAAATAGTTGTATGCCTTGGCCTGCGTTTGTTGGCTGTCATTGTTGCTAGCTGAGAAGTAGTATCATTCGCATTCGCATTGGTTGTGGCAGCAGCAGCAGTAGTGGTGAAGATAGTAGCGGTAGCAGTAGCACTAGCAATTGAAGTATAGGAGTTGTAGTGGTGGTAGTAGTAGTGGAATTGGTAGTAGTAGTAGTAGTAGTAGTAGTAGTAGTAGTAGTAGTAGTAGTAGCAGTAGCAATAGCAGTAGCAGTAGCAGTAGCAGTATCAGCAGCAGTAGGAGCAGCAGGAGCAGTAGTAGCAGTATATAGCAGTAGCAGTAGCAGTAGCAGTAGCAGTAGCAGTAGCAGTAGCAGCAGGAGTAGTAGTAGTAGTAGTAGTAGTGGTAGTGGTAGTAACGGTAGTAGCAGCTGTAGCAGAGCTGCAATAGAATGAGTGCTTGATCTTTGTGTGTGATCTTAGTTTCTCAGCATGCATGTTTGGGTTTGGGACCCACCTTTTCGCGAGAGATTTCTGGCGTCAGGTTGGCGGTTCTGGTGGTGGAGGACTTGGCTCAGTCTGGGAAAGGCTGGCTCCGGGCCGGGGAAGACTTACGGACCGTTCCTGGTTTGGCTCGATGTTCCACGTTCAGTGCAAAAGGGTGGGTCAGAGGAAGAGCGTGACCATGTGACCCTACAGGGTAATTGAAGGGAGCACGCCCTTCTCGAAGAGTACTCCTTTCGTTGTTTTCACTAGAATATGGCTTGTCTTTGGAACCGAGTAGCCCTTTGCATCGTTTGGGAGTTTCCACTGAACCAGCAAAGGTCCAAGGGCTGTTCCCCATCATAGTCTCAATCCATCCTTCTCTTCAGAAACCGCTGATTCCCTGCAGGGCATAGGGGGCCATTGTCTAAAGAGAAAGATCCCTGGAGAGAGTGGGGAAGGCACCGTGGCTGGGGTAACAAACCTCCTAACTTCATGGACTAAACTGTTTGGGAAGACCAGTTTAGTGGCAAAAACAAAGTGTTTGTTTGTTTTTTGCCAATTCACTCAGGAAGTGAGTTAAACATTGCAAGAAGGAGAAGTGCTTTACACCAGCCCAAAGGCTAAGGCAGTAAGGGCTAATCCGCCACTTCTGTGATGTTCTCCCTGCAGAGTGTTTTCTCAATTTCGATTCAGGAACATCTGATTGAAGGCCAGCCTCTTATGTTTGCCACCAAAATCCTTCTAGTGGCCAACCTTGTCGAGCTCACTGTTGCAAAAATAGGTGTAGAGTTGTTGGCGTTCTTTTGTTTTCGTGCTTCGTCAGAGGGGCTGCCTTCTTTTCCCGAACTTCTCTTGGATGTTTGTCTAGTTTGTTTCGTAGCCACCTGCGTTAGTATTCATTTCAGACCCAGGAGCTTCCGCCTTGCGCTAGGCGTCGAGTACTTGTTCCAGGAGTCCCTCAGGTGGCAGGCGGGATGGTATGTGCGATGGGCTGAGGCAGTTGGAGGTCTGAACGTCCGCAGCTGGGGAAAGAACCACCATGAGGACAAGCACAAAGGACCCAAGAAAGGATCAAGATACAAATGGCAAAGGCAACGTCAAGGAACACAAAAGACCTAGTGTGATCAGCAAAACAACCTGAGTCTGTTCCAAATTTGGCAATCCTAACGGGGCCTCTGACACCTGCAGTCCCAGCGAGCAAGAGATGGCTGGAACCCATTGCGAGCTTGGCGCTTCAATTCCCAAGACTTTGACGCGGCAAGTTGGCAAGGGCTGCAAGTTCAGCAGCGCGGTAGTTGGGCACGACTTTGTGTAGCCAAGTTTCCCAGCCAATGATTTTGCCGAGGTTTATTTTGCATGTACCACAGGATTTTGACCAGGAGATTGATGGCAGATGTTCCCAACAGAGGGCTTCAGTATTTTTCAAATGGATGGGGTAAACATTCTAGTTTGCAAGGCTGAAGGGCTAGAAAAGTCTGCAGGGGCGGAGGGGAGAACATGGCGAGGCAACATGGTAATTTATGGGCGTGTGCAATTTGAAGAGCAACCTGCTTTTTTTTGTGGTGGTGCAATGAGTCCATGACTTTTGCACCTATTTACTGGGATCGTAGACAACAACTACAAGGCTTCCTTCCAAGCCGACGCCGGGTTTGGCTGACCAGCAGAGCCTTGGATCGTTAGCATCCCAACACCGCACCTCTTGGATGACCACCCCACACAACTCAGAAATATCCCCAGCTAAGTCCCCATCCATTTTGTTTGGGGGGAGGGGGCATTTTGGTGCACGGAGACTTGACTGGGGGTGTTAGCCACAGACCTGCCATGAGGTCGTCCAAGCTTATTAAGTTTTATGCGAAGAGCTTCAGGTCGGGAAGACCTGCTTCAAGCTGGCGCATGAGCTAGGCGCGCTTTGGGGGCCGTTGCGGTGGCTTGCCACTTTCAATTTCCCATCCCCCGAAACAGAGAAGCGCATGCTCGAAATGTGACAGCAAGGGAGCATGGGAGCAACGATTGGTTCACCTACCTCAAAAGCATCTATGTTTAGCGCTGCCATGACTCGCCCATCGATTTGCGTGCTTCTTGTTTTTTGTCACACCGGCGGGAGTTGACCCGGAGGCGGAGCCCAGTGAGTCTGACGGCTGCCATGATGTAACAAGAGCCGGGGCGTTTGCAATCAAGTCCCTGAACCCTGAATCATGCCAGATGGTAGCGGTGCCCCTTAAAAGATGCATCTTGCGCATTTGAGACATGGTGCTCTTTCCACCAAAATACAGGGAAACCACCAATTACAAGGCACTGTTCCGGTGTAGAATGTAAGGATCCCTGTGCTAGTGGTGTCCCTTGTTCTAGCGAAGTCTCACTACCTGTTCCCATAGAAGATATGTTTGAATGCCAGTGTCACATCAAATTCTTCCCTGCGGCCGGCGAATCAGCGGGGAGATTGATTTGTTTGCTTGTTGTTTTGAAGTTGGTTCAATTTTCAAGATTGGTTGACAGGCAAGGGAGCCACCAATTTGAAAGTCCCCCTATTAGGACACATACCCGTTTGTGCTTCAAACACAAAGCCACTATTGAATCAACAACCTGTTGGAAGGTTGCAAACTACGCTGCGACTCATGACCTCCCTGGTTCAACATTACCGTCTGAACCAGCAAGCGTTCGTGTTGAACTGTGGTTGTCAACTGATGAAATGAATCCTTTTTGGAATTGCCCACGTAGCTTAGTTTATATAGGCATGATTTTGGGGACAATTGATACACGTAATTTAATTAGCAAATAGCTGCTTGACACTGCCAAATACTTTGTGTGGCGGTTGTCTAAGTCAAGCTGGCAGGCAGTCGCTAGATCATAGTGCCTTCTGCTGAAAAAGGGTTTAACTTTAAACTCGTATTGCCATTGGCATTCCTTTTTGGCCGTGTCTCAATATAGAGGCCCCCCCCCAAATAGTGGCTTTCCTTGTGGTGTCCCTTTAAACTTAAACCAAACTGAATATAGCAGCTTTCGCCTCAAACACACACGAGGCTGCAAGATGTTCGTGTCCGCCACCTTCTACCGACTCGCGGTGGATCTGTATTGGACCACTCCAGTGCCCTTCCATGTCCACTCCAAGTCCAAGCCGTGGTCTCAGATTGGTTTGCAAGTCATCGTTGTCATCGGCAAGCTGTCAATCGAACAGCTGATTGATAAGCTATCTTGGGTATATCATTGATTGATTTACCGATGGGTTGCTTGTCGCGGGAACTCTCGAGTACCCATCCCCAGGTAGGTACCCAGCCCTTCATTTTAGAGCCTTAATCGGGTAGCCTGGGAGCCGGCTTTGTGGTTCTTCTTGCAGGTTTGCACGGTTTGAGGCTGACACCTCCTGTTGCTAAGCGGGTGGGCAAGAGGGTGTGTTTGTTCTTGAGGGTACCCAGTTTTAACAGAAACCAAAACAACAACCCCCATTTTGGAGATTCCCCTACTTTGTTTCATACATATCCATTTGGGTTGCTTGGATGAATACATTTCGCTGCTTATACGTCAATTCCGACAAAGTTGTTTCTCGGCAGGCTCCTGTTGCAGCTCGGCAGCGACCCTTTCCTGTCAATTCGTCAGCAGCCACGGGGTACAAGTGAGTGACACGATTACCAAGAACCATTTATGGGTGTGTTTGTTTTGAGGGAACCCTCTTCTGGGGGTGCTTTCAAGGGAAACTAAAAGGTACCGGGTGTTTACCCACCCGCATGTCCGAGTGGCTTCTACCCCTGCACACCCGTTCGCTCCCGCACATCACGTCAGAGCTGCACGCACGCCAGCACATGATGAGCACACCCGCTCCCGCACATCACGTCAGAGCTGCACGCACGCCAGCACATGATAAGCACACCCGCTCCCGCACATCACGTCAGAGCTGCACGCACGCCAGCACATGATAAGTACACCCGCTCCCGCACATCACGTCAGAGCCGCACGCACGCCAGCACATGAGAAGCATACCCGCTCCCGCACATCACGTCAGAGCTGCACGCACGCCAGCACATGATAAGCACACCCGCTCCCGCACATCACGTCAGAGCTGCACGCACGCCAGCACATGATAAGCACAGCACCGCTCCCGCACATCACGTCAGAGCTGCACGCACGCCAGCACATGATAAGCACACCCGCTCCCGCACATCACGTCAGAGCTGCACGCACGCCAGCACATGATAAGCACACCCGCTCCCGCACATCACGTCAGAGCTGCACGCACGCCAGCACATGATAAGCACACCCGCTCCCGCACATCACGTCAGAGCTGCACGCACGCCAGCACATGATAAGCACACCCGCTCCCGCACATCACGTCAGAGCTGCACACGCCAGCACATGCCACATCACGTCAGAGCTGCACGCACGCCAGCACATGATAAGCACACCCGCTCCCGCACATCACGTCAGAGCTGCACGCACGCCAGCACATGATAAGCACACCCGCTCCCGCACATCACGTCAGAGCTGCACGCACGCCAGCACATGATAAGTACGCCCGCTCCCGCACATCACGTCAGAGCTGCGCGCACGCCAGCACATGATAAGCACACCCGCTCCCGCACATCACGTCAGAGCTGCACGCACGCCAGCACATGATAAGTACACCCGCTCCCGCACATCACGTCAGAGCTGCACGCTCGCCAGCACATGATAAGCACACCCGCTCCCGCACATCACGTCAGAGCTGCATGCACGCCAGCACATGATAAGCACACCGCTTCACGTCAGAGCTGCACGCACGCCAGCACATGATAAGCACACCTCGCTCCCGCACATCACGTCAGGCTGCATGCACGCTGATAAGTACACCCGCTCCCGCACATCACGTCAGAGCTGCACGCACGCCAGCACATGATAAGTACACCCGCTCCCGCACATCACGTCAGAGCTGCACGCACGCCAGCACATGATAAGTACACCCGCTCCCGCACATCACGTCAGAGCTGCACGCTCGCCAGCACATGATAAGCGCACCCGCTCCCGCACATCACGTCAGAGCTGCACGCACGCCAGCACATGATAAGCACACCCGCTCCCGCACATCACGTCAGAGCTGCATGCACGCCAGCACATGATAAGCACACCCGCTCCGGCACATCACGTCAGAGCTGCACGCACGCCAGCACATGATAAGTACACCCGCTCCCGCACATCACGTCAGAGCTGCACGCACGCCAGCGCATGATAAGTACACCCGCTCCCGCACATCACGTCAGAGCTGCACGCACGCCAGCACATGATAAGCACACCCGCTCCCGCACATCACGTCAGAGCTGCACGCACGCCAGCACATGATAAGTACACCCGCTCCCGCACATCACGTCAGAGCTGCACGCACGCCAGCACATGATAAGCACACCCGCTCCCGCACATCACGTCAGAGCTGCACGCACGCCAGCGCATGATAAGCACACCCGCTCACGCGCATCACGTCAGAGCTGCACGCACGCCAGCACACGATAAGCACACCCGCTCCCGCACATCACGTCAGAGCTGCACGCACGCCAGCACATGATAAGCACACCCGCTCACGCGCATCACGTCAGCTGCACGCACTCTGGCACATGACAAGCATACCCTGTCACGTGCATAACTTCAGATTGCATGCTCGTTGACACCTGGTAAGCACACCGGCTCACGCGCATCACGTCAGAGCTGCACGCACGCTGGCACATGAGAAGTACACCCGTTCACGCGCATCACGCCAGAGCTGCACGCATGCTGGCACATGATACGCACACCCTGTCACGTACATTACGTCAGTCAGAGCTGCACGCTTGTTAACGCATAAAAACAGAACTCCCACTCACAGCTGTACGCACGCTGGCACATGACAAGGCACATGACAAGCAGAACTGTTCACGCGCATCACGCACGCTGACATGAGAAGCACACTCGATGACGCGCACCACGTCAGAGCTGCACGCACGCTGGGCCATGACAAGCACACCCGCTAAGTGCCTGGGCCTGAGTTAGTTACCGGGATGTCGGGATGTCCCACAACCCCAGAAACATGCATACTTGTCAAACTGCCTGAGAATAGACGCACAAGCTCTGAGGACATGTGCAAACACGCGCGAACTAAGTTCCTTCACAAAAGTGCAACCCCACACGTGGCCAGTTTATAGGATGTGCCCAGCTAGTCTAGACACACTGCAGGAAGATCTACAGGACATGAGTCAAGCACCCATTAAGAAAACAGCACGCTGCGCTGCTGAAGGTTTTCTTGTTGGCAGTTTGCAACGCACAAGATGTCAGCAAGTTGTTTGACCACGTGAGAAGACTTGGGCGTATTTGGTGCAACTGGGTTATGAGGTCTCCATTGAGTGGTCTCCATTGAGGCTTGCCAAAACAACAACAGCTAACATGTTTGCGTGAGTGAGTATGAGTGTGGTGAAAGTCTTACAAATATCCAGAGCCCGCACAGGCCCTAAGAGACTGGTCTCAAAATAAACTGGGTGTCCTTCCCATGGTTTTCTCAGCCCCCCTAGCTTTTCAGGTTTTTAGGGTTGAGTGGGATGTCCATTTAACCGGCAAATACATGCTGGTTTTTTTTCAGGGATCTGACAACGGACGGCAGGATTTTTCAGGGTGTTTCCATTTACTGTCCCCAGCCCAGTTTTGGCTTCCCTTGAAAACCACCCAAAACGGGGCAACCAGACGAGCCGATCCGAGGCGCCAGCTGGATGCCAAGGATATCAGCTGGCGCGGGACCGTAGCTGGCGCAGCTTGTTTCGGACAACGAGGGACCCCCCAAAATTGTAGTTGCCTTTGTGGTTTCCCTTTAGCCCTGCCTAGAAAGGATGCCCTCCAAAATCACAGAACCAAGTTGGGACACCTAACATTTCTGACATGTTTTTGGTGTCCCTGTTGAACTATCCACAACAAATGTCCACCTTTTTTGGTGGTTCTTCGAAGGGAACCACGGGGAAGTCACCCTTTGCGCGGTTTGTATGGGAACCCCAGGGAAATCACAATTTTCTTGCAGGAGAAGCCACGTAGTCACCTTTTTTGCACGTACCTTTGACCTTTGTAGGCACCCTCTCACCATGGCCTTCGATCATGGACGGGAGTCAGGAAAGTGGTCAGTTACCCCAGAAAAGTTCACTGAACACTGAATCCTCCTTGCAACCCTTTTTAACAGTCACTTTTGGTATCCCTCGAAAAAGCGGCGCAAGGCAACTAGAGTGCAACAGTCGATCATGTTATACCCACGTGCGGCTCGCGGAAGTCTGTTCCAGACCGCCAAGAGTTCCTTTTTTTCTCTAAATTGGGGTGCCCTGAATCAACCAAAGCAAAGATCCATGGTGCTTTCTGTGTTCCTTTGGGATGGCTTTCCCTGAATCAAACAACAAAATGTATCATGAGATGTTGGCCTGAGTGACTGACCTGACTGACTGACTGACTGAGCAGTTGGTGGGAAGCTAAATTGGGTTGTTCCCATTCAACCTGTTTCAGGTGAGCCACAATCAAAACCCGGGTAGATGAAGGTTAGTCAGGGGCAGTCCCAGCCAGAAATAGCTGCGGGACTCCGCCTTCTTAATTCTTGAAGCATGGTTCTGGGATTACGACCGTTTTTGTACCGATCGGTTTTGAGCAAGTGACTCAGGTGGGACCTGCTGAAGTTGCCCTGGACCGGGGAGGCAAGACTCCCGAGTCCCGAGTACTCGGCTCGATGCTTTTGCTTCCAGGCCCCAAGCCCTCCAAAGCGCTAGGCCCCGTGGAAGTACAAAGGAAACGTGTGGTCTGGTGGTTTTCTTTAGAATGAAAGAGCAACTTGTGGTCTCCTGGCGGTGTCCTGTAGAAACCAAACTGGTGGGTTGCTTTGAACTGGAATACAAGGCAAACTGGTGGACTCCTGGTGGGGTTGCTTTAAAATGACGGAAAAGCTTCTGGTCTCCTGCTAGTTTGCTCAAAAATCAAAGGGAAACGCGGGGGTCTGCTGACAGCATGCTTTACCAAACAGGTATACTTTTTGTGTCCTGGTCTTTCGCTGGTCTTTTGCTTCAAAACAGGCAACTTGCGCTCTGCCGATGATATGCTTCAAACATGGAAAACATGATTCCTGGTATGTTGATTCAAATAAAAGGGAATCGTGCGGTTTTCTATGGGGTTCCTCGACATCAAAAGGGACACTTCTGGTTTCCTCAAAGGGAATGTGGTTTCTTTCCTTTAAGATCAAAAGCAAACTTGTGGTTTCCTCTCAGTTTCCTTTAAAAACAAGGGACATTGTTTGTTTCCTAGTGGCTTCCCTTTATTTTGACAAGGTCTTGTGATGTCGTAGCTTCCCATCCCCAAATGGGATCGAGTCCTACGTGGGAAATCCGGCGGTTTAGATCAAGCTGTTTCGCTTCCGCTTTCGCGGAAGCGAAGGTCTTTGGAGCCTCTTTTGAGCCGCATGTGGTTGACCACTGGACTGTGTCCATAGTAGACATTATTTTTGAATCGACGATGTGAATTCCGGCGCAAGAATCACAATGCAAGTTACAAGTATGGAAATGAAACAGCCGGAATCTGATACTTCATTGTTTGGATTTGTGTTGGTTTCCAAGTTCGTCTGGCGTTGATTCTAAAATGTCCCCAAATAAGACTGGAGTTAGGGTTGGGAGATTTGGGGGTCTTTGCAAAATGCGTATTATTTGTTACCCGGGGGAAAGAGAGTGCATACATGTTGGTGGACACACACACACACATATATATATATATATATATATATATACATATATTGTCTTCAATGATTCTCCAAGGTTGTTGGGGTTTGACCCATATTGAACAGACTCACATGCAAATGGTACATATCTATATGTTCTTATACATACATTGAGTATATATATATATGTATATATATACATATATCTACATACATGTGTGTATTTCTCTATTGATCTATTTATCAATTTATCTGTTGTATTTGTTCACGCAGACTAAACCATATCACACAGAGAATGCTTGCTCCGCAGGTGGGAGGCTTCTCTCTTTGGGAGTTCCTGTCCATCCCGTCTATTCAGGAGACGGGGCTGAGAGGGTGAGGGCGAAGAAATGCCAAAGGAAAAAGGCCCATGTTGATGAATCTCAGTTTATTGTTAGGGGGGTGTTCCCCTCCAAATGATTCCCCACTAAGCCTAGAGATACGCCCCTATTACTAAGCTGAGGTTGATCAATGTGGGGTCAACATGATTTAAAACAACCTGCTCTGAGTTGCGCTTTGAAGGGGCACTAGGGATTGCTTATTCGGACAAGTTTAACCCTGGCTGTGCCATACTCATGGGTGGAAGGCTGATAACACCGACCGCCAAGCCTTTCGAGCCATGCGGACGATGCAGAACTCAAGATGTTCTGAACTGAACAGGGCTCTTTGGGTCAGAGCTGAACATGCGCTGTCATCGCGCTGTTGCTCACTTGTCTTACTGTGTTTGGTCGGCAAGTGGCTTCAAAGGGTGGCGGGCACAGACAGTTCCTTGGTCACACAGGAACTTGTGCCCTATACGACCCATCAAAGAACTCATGAATTGCAAGAGGGATCCGCTTGCGCAAGAGCATCTGTCACTGCTCAGAGCTTCTGGCTTCGTTGACTCTTTGAGCAACGGACGCAGGTGATATTGCCCCCTTTATGCCATCAATTGTGTTATTGTGTGTCTCGTTTACAAGGAGGACATTCAAGATTGCAGCATATCAAACAATATTGTGGGGCATGCGTCCTTTTTATGGAATTTTCTGTCTTAGTTGCCGCAGTTTGTGGGTAAGATGCATTGTTTTGCACCTTAGAACTACGCCTGGGAATCGCGCATTCTGGAGCTATTTCCAGAGAACGCCTTGTTCGCATAGGAGGTCGTTATAGTCATTTTGGTTGAGGAGGGGGCGAGGCAGCTACCTCTATAGAATATAGGTGAAAAGATGGTTTCCCTGTAGTGTTAGTGTTGACGGGTGGTTCCTTGGTTGCCTGCTAACTCTAGGCCAGTTGATGCATCGATTTCGGGTGCGCCAGTTGGCGATTCAAGGGTAACACTCTTGCCAGGTCTGTTTCATCCGTGGTCAATATGCAAACCTTAACCCCCGCAACTGGGGAAAAAAAACGAGTGTGTCTGGATTCGGACCCCCAAAATGGATTCGGGTGTTCCTTTTGGTTTCCTAAGACCACCCCAAAAGGGCTACCAACTCAAGAAGACGAGCCACCCACAAGATGGAGCCTCGCAGGCCTGGACCCACGGAGCCTTCCGCAGCCTCTTTGTCCGGGGCACGGGAAAAGATCTCGCGCATGGTGGGCTGTTCCTCTCAACTGGCTTGAGAAATGTCAACTACCAACAACTCGATGCCTGAGTTGGTCTTACTTTTCTGGAAACTGGATTATTTTTGGGGTAAATAGAAGGTTTGGACTTGTTTTGGCCAATCCACTCAGGAAGTGAGAGAACAATAAGTGTTCGTTTTCCGCGCCCGCTGGATACGTATAATTGTTCATGTATATGTTGTTCAACGCCGGACCAACATGTCATGTAGAACTGATGGTGTATTGCTAGGGTTGCTCCCCAATTTACAGGTTGTGCCAAGCCCCGCATTTGGTTCACTGGCCCTGAACCACAGTGACTGCTTAATCCTTAGGGAATACTTTATGAACCAAACAGTGTTGCTCCGAACTTCAAAGCTGTCGCACCCTTGAGCCGTTTCCGGGACGAACTCTTCCTTGAGCAGCCGCTTGACAAAGAAACTGCAGATCAGACTTGGTTTGGCCAACCCACTGAAGTCAACGAGGCAAGCTTTATTGGGGGGGTTGACTCAGTTTTCTCCTTGCCCCAAACTGCTATAGGCGATAGAAGAATACGGAGCCCGTGAACAGGTATGCCCAAACAAGGCAACAATTGTTCCGTTGTTTGTTTGGGGTTTCCTTCACCAGGCAACACCATTTCTACCTTTGCGCCAGGTCCCAGAGCTGGGTTTTGCGAAATCAGCAAATGGATTAGGTGGTTTCCAGTATCGTGTCAGGGATCTCCGTGTTGAGAACCGATCGCCCGTTTTTGGATTGCGTGGGGATGTCTGGTTATATTATTCTATCCAGCTTCTTTGCCCCATATTTTTCGGATCCCCATGTTGAATGCTTCCAATTCAAGACATGTGTTTGTCTCAAAGAAAAACCTCGTGGGCTGCCAAAGAGAACAAGCCCCTCGGGCTCCGTTCGCTCAGGTGGGCTTGTACTCCTACGCGGTGTTCTACCAGCCTGCGGCCCAAACGGACCGCGAGAAGCATCGAGGGATGGATGGCTTCATGTGGCTGTGGTTGTCAAAATCAATGGGATCCCATTTTGGTTGGTAGGTGAATTCGCCACCCATTTTAGAACCTATTTTAGTGGGGCTTGGGATGTTCACTGGGGGTACGGGGTTTTGACCCATGGCCACGTGGTAAGAGTGGGAACAATTTGAAAAACCATAGAGCATAGAGGTTGGGTGAAAACTGGGGGGAGGGATTCTCCAAATGTCGAGCCAAATATTCTCCCATGCCTCTCATCTACGTTGTGAGATCCCTTCCAAGCGGTTCTTGGACGGTGCTCAAGACGGTCCAAGAGTTTGCTACTTGTGAGTGGTTGGCGTTCCCCCAGTTGACGCCCATTCCCTTACAACCAGGGTGACTACGCCTTTTCAGCGCCTCATCACCAATTGTACAGGAATCCCTCATAGTGACCACTGTTTTGTTTGGTTTTCGCTGGGAAGTCCACTCGGCGCCCAAAAACCCCACCTGGTCTAACTTGGGACTATGGCCCAACTAAATTTTTTGAGAACCCCAGCTAAGCCAGGGCTACCCCGTCTTTCTTGGCCCAAAATCTTCGAACCGCTCACGGCCCCGCGGGCCACGTCCATTCGAACTGCAGGCTGCTGACCTTCGGCGGCATCACCTTCGTCGAGGCGAGCTGGGCCTTGCGGGTTGCGAGGGGAGCAATTTCTGGGGCTCCCCGCTCAGAGCACATCGAAATGGCATAAAAGGTGAGGTTCAAAAAAGAACAGCTAGTTTTTTAGGGGTTCCCGTCAAAACGAACGCAACCGACAGGCAAGTCACTTCACATTAGAAGGCCTATATACACTTAGGCGGCGATGCTTAAAGCTTGCCACGCGAACAAGGCACGAATTTGTCACATCATGGAAAGAACATGCGTGACGACAACTACCAGCAGCTCTTTGTTTGGTTGGATCTTTGGACTTTGACTGTTTGGGGAAACTGTGGGTTTTGCATTGGAGCCACAAAAAGTCATGCCTTTTGCAGAGGGATCAACAGCAACCAAGTTTGGGGTAACCAGCCACGACTAAGCGAAGGCGGCACAAAAAGAGCTTGAATCTTCCCCCAAGCACCAGGAACTTGGGCAGTCTGCTCATGGATTCCCGCTCCTACTGATTACTACGGTCTCATGCATTGGAGTTGTGCCTGAAATGTGGACCCGGGTTCATCAACTTGTCGGATTCTGTCAGCTCATTTCACTTTGTACCTCTCTGATGTTCCCAAGGATAAAATCGGTCGCAGCAGTCACCGCAACCTCAGAGCCGATCAGAAGTTGCAAATGCCGTGGACGCGGCTTCTGTATATAGATATGTGTATGGGAGTGAGACTATAGCGGTGGTAGCCCTCACTTACGGGGCGTCTTGGCGACCAGGAATTCAAAGCAAGATGGTCCTCGTCTCACGGCGGAATCGCGAAATGGGTGTTTCCTTTATCAAGAGTATTCTTTTCATATTTTTGAAAGGGACGCCTAAATGGAAACCAAGTTGAAGATTTCAAAAGTTCACATGTGTGTTGTGCCTGTTCTCCTTTTTTTGGAGACCTAAAAGGGCCGCCGCGCCGCAAATTCCCATCTCGCGCTTTGCAGGTGCTGCTCTTCGTCTGGGGTCTGGGCCTGGGCTTGGTGGAGGTGAAACAGCTCCGGACCCAATCCGAGAACTCCTTCTGGGCCCGGTTCCAGGCCAGCAGGGCGTCGGTCGTCGCGTCCTTCGGCCCGGTCGACGGTGCACAAGGGGCCTCCTTTTCTTCAAAACTCCCCAGCCATCCTTGTAGGTGTTTTCAGGATTTTCGGAGTCGAGTGGTGATTTGTTGATGCAATTCACTACGAGTAAAGTTTTTGGCAAGAAAGTCTTTGGGAAGGTGGAGGTTGAACTAGCTCAAGCAGATGCGGATGGTACCCGTTTTTTTCTCCTGGACATCCACGACAGATGCGGGCCTTTTGTGGTTTGGCTTGGGGTAATGTGGGCTGGGCTGTTCTTACTAAAACGGGGGGTCAAGGTAGCCCTGTTGCATGACTAGGCTTGGGCAGGCTTGGTGTCCTGCCATCATTTCAGGATGGCTCCCCCTGTTGATTTTCCTTGATTGGTCGTTGGCTGAGTATGGGAGGGGCCCCTGCCTTGGAATCCCTTTGGATGTGCTCGTCGAAACAATGGGGCTGCAGCCAGTCCCAACCTGGCGCTGGGCAGGCCTCCATGTTTGGTTTCTGTTTGTATATGGGTGTGGTGGCTTGACCTGTTTTGTTGATGGTACGCGTGTTGGGGTGGCGTTAAAGGGGAGCAAAAGGCAAACCACCCATTTTGAGGGTCCCCTGTTTTGAGACAACCCAACATTTGTTGCTTCTTTGTTTCTTCAGTTGCGCAAAGCGCAGTGACACGGTGCGTCGCTTCCGGCTTTGCAGTTTGCTCTATTTGTTTATTTGTTGGTGTTTGCCCTTTGTGATGATGGGGAGAGCGGGGTGATTTGTTTGCGTTGTTTCTTTGTTGTGCGTTTTGCTGGCATCTTGAAGACAGATTTCTGTCGCACTTGTTTGTCTTTCAGGCGCAGAACTGCACCGTTTACTTGAACTTGACACGCGAGGCGATATGAAAAACAACCAAAAGGATAAAAACGGGCGTATCGTTCTTGAGGCTCGGTACCGTTTGAGAGCTGGTGTAAACAAGCAATCCAAATGGTTTCTTTTTTTCCTTTGGGTTCCTCTACCCCCAAATTGTGATCCCCTAAGGGGAGTTGGGTTTGTATGCCCTTTTGTACAGAGTCGAGATGGGTGTTGCACACCTCATGTTTTTCTTGAGTTCTCTCATCATCCTTGCTGGGAGTTGCCCACAATGATCGATATTTTGAAGTTTTTTAGTTGCCTTGTTCATATTAGGTCTATATATATTTTTTCCAGGTCCAAAAGGGTTGCAACCGCAACAAACAAATAGCACGCCTACGGTGAGGCCTACATCCACGACTTCTGGAATTTCTTGGACTGTTTGCCCCTCCGACTGTGAGAAAAGCGCCGCGGATGTTTTTGTTTTTCGCCGCAGTCAAACTGGAGCTGGCTGATTTGGGTGGGTTGTTTTTTTTTGGGGGGGGGAGCCCCGTTTTGGGTGGTTTCAACTGGAAAACAACAGAAGATCCAGCATTTCAGGGGTCCCCCTGATTTAAGACAAACCCATTTGGGCAGGTTTCTTTTGAACACAAAGCAGTTGCTCAGTGGGTTGAGAACCCTTTTGCAACCCTTTGGGAAGGATGGGTTCTTGTCGAACTCGACAAACAAAGGTGTACCTTTTCAATAAAGGCTGGGGGGCTTCTGAGCAATTAGCACTTGGCCCAGTTGCAGTCCCAACCAATGAAAATCCGCGGCCAATCGTTGTCCTCTGCTTGGGCGGGGGGTGTCCTTTTAGGCCATCATTTGATCGGCCGGTATTTTTCAAAGGTAGTTTTTGCTTGGCCCGGAACCTCCCGATTAATTTGGGGCCTTCAAGCAACTTGGTTTTGAGCCCAACCCCACGGTCTCTAATGGAGGGGTCGGGTCTTCCATTGAAAGCCCCAGGAGCCTCTGGGGGGTAAGAGAGACCACAATCACCCACCCTTTTTAGGGGCCCTGCCTTTTGTCCAAATTTTGACGTGTTTTCTCCAGCGACAAAGGATTCCTCAGGATCTTTGGTGGTTTTGGCGTTCGTTTTCACAATACTCGTGGAATCTCATGGCACATGTTGTGCTCCGGGAAGAAGCGGTCCTTGAGGTTGTCTCAGACTTGGCAAAGCTCCAAACGGGTGGATTTCCCCTTCACGCTTCCTGAGTTCCTGGACAGTAAACTTTTTGGTAAGACCATTTTAGTGGAAAATAAACAGTTTGGACTTGTTTTTGCCAAGTCACGCAGGAAGTGTGCTTTGATTTCCACCTGAACTCTCCCAGAAAGGGCAAACGCACCCAGTATCCAGGGAGTTGCAAGAGAGCTTCGGCAACTGTCATCACATGGGAGCAGACCTTGGCTCCTACCGCAAAAGCGGGGCCGTTCCGCTGCACCCTTCTTCCCTTTTTGCGTTGGTTGCCCTCGAAAATCGGTCAACCGGGGCTCCTCTTTCTACGAGCTCCTGAGCAGCTGGAAAAGAACCCTGAACACGAGTCTTATGGCCAGCTGCATACATGATCCTGACCGGAGATACCTAAATTGTGGGGTACTTTGGAACCAGATTAAGTCATGATCACAAGAGAATCATGTGCGGATTCATTTGGCGCCATAGATTCGCCTCCGAAACCCTCACGGAATCAAGGTGCGCGCATCTCCCATTAGCAGCTAGGCAAGAAGAGCTGTCAACAAAAGTTGCAATATCAAGCAACCACCTGCAGGGTCACTAATGTCACCCTAGCTTTATGACAAGCGTACACATCACAACATGTTGATGAATGCTCGGTCGTCAATGCAAAGATGGACTGGTTGGTATCAGATCAGCTACTCATTGAATCCTCGAGTACTTTAATGTATGTCGATAATGCTTGGAAGAACTCTTTGCCGACATTTCAATGTGTCCAAGGAGTTTACTGGGGCTGTTGCATTGTGGGGGGAGTGGCATGTGAAACGGAACAACTCTGCACAGGCACAGCAGAAGAGGGTCTAAAAGGATATGGTTCTAGACAAAGCTCCAAGGTTGCAAACATTGTTGATGTTTGTGTGGTGAGCGGCAATGTTGCGACCTCTTGTATAGCGTGGTTTTAGCTTTATATACTTATATGATGTATTTGTTGGCTGCCTAGTTGTCCATGTTTGGTTGTTTGGCCAGTTTGGCATCGCGATACTTATTGCCTGTTACATGCAAATATGTCTTAGGAACTGTTGGCAACAAATCACTTTTATATTGTGTTTCAGTTGTCTGGTTCATTTCAGGCGTGTTGTTCTTCGAGTTGTTGGCTGGTCTCTATGTATTGATGATATAATTGCATGCTTGCAAGGTACCTTTTTCACGTCGTATTTGTTGTGTGTTTTCCTGGGTTTGTGTTGTGTAGGTTGACTCAAACCTTCAACATGCTGTCCATATGATGTTTAGCGTGCTTCGTATTACTGTGTGTACCATGTTGCACATAGGGTGCAAACTTGCTGTTGGAATACACATGGAAAGAGTCTTTGGGTCATGTTGTTTGTTCTGCATTTGCACCCTTAGCTGCAACCAAGGCACATCACGGTTCTGCTGACTGCGCTCAGCATCGGGGTGGTGTTGGCAGACAAGAATGAGGAAGTCAGCGAGGCGTGCAGACGCAAAGCAACTGTGCAGTGGCGGCTTCATTCTCTCGACTCTATCATACTGATGGACCTGATCCACCTTGCACCAGTTGGGATGGATGAATCCTGTTGATACTGGGCCATACCAGCTACTGGAGTCCAAGCCCACCCAAGCCCATTTCTTTCTGTCCGGTTTCCTCAGGCCTTATTCCTTTCACAGGTGGTAGCGCAAAGGGGGGCTTCAAATCCCATGACTTGCCACGGAGAGGAAACCACCACTGGGTGGTATTTGTCGGGGTCATGTACTCACCCCCCTGCTGAGATCCAACATTATTAGTTTCTTGCCACAAAGCTTCATAATGAATTGAAGGCTCTACCGGAGGCTTTCATTTTTTACCTTGTATGGTGTATCGACTGGATCTGACTAACATTTCAGATTCAACATCTTTGGTAGATGTTGTATCAATGGTCCGAAAAGGCTAGCCTTTCTTTTTTTGGCCTGTGGTGGCAAGTGAGTTGTGCGTACCTGAAACATCGCCAAGGTTTGCTAATTTTGTTCTTTTGTGTTTCCCGCATTTGCCCCCTTCGGCCGAAGCTTTGCCAGTTTGAGCACACTCTGGAGATCACGCACGCCATGAACCTACTGCCCTGTCATCACCTCAGATGGGTTGGGTTCGGTCCATTGTTCTTAATTGTTGGAAATAGGGCTTTAGGTCCATTTCTGCGATAATTGTAAACGCTCCGCGTTGGCCGCGTCGGCCAGTGCACTTTTGGCTGACTTTGAGGTATACACCGTGCTTTAGTTTGCATTGAAGTCTTGTGTTTGCGTGAGCTTTCTGGATGGGAACTTGAGCGGTTTTAAAGGGATTTTGACCGGTTTCTGGTGACCAGAGTTGGACCGGCTTTGAGAGGGGCAATTTCGGTTTCCAGAGGGTTGGGGAGGGGAAGTTGGCCGCTTTCTATCGGTGATTTGATCGGTTTCTTGACTTTTAGAGGGGTTTGATCACTTTCTAGATGACCGGTTTTAAGGATTTGACCGGAGTTGGGTCGTCACGGGATCTGACCGCTTCCCGCTTCAGGCGGACTGGAGGCAGCTGGACCAGGGATTTTGGTTGCGCACCATTTGTCGAAGAGGTTCTGAAGGGTTTGACCGCTTCCCCAAGCCGAATTACCAGGGTAACCTCTTCGAAAGTGATGAAGTGATCTTGGCGATCGATCCGAGCGCTATTTTCAATTTGTGTCTGAAACATTTCGATTTTTGGAAATGCCAACGCTGCTCAGGATCCTTGGTGGGACAATGGTTTCAACATCAAATGTCCCCTCAAGCATCACCCAAAGAGAGTTTCAGGCAACATCAGCAACCACGAGTCGTTGTTCAAACTGGTTATGACTTCTGGTTGCCAGTGCTCTGAGACTCTCTTTGGGCGATGTAAGGTAAAGGGGCCCAAACCACGCTGCAGCAAAACAGGCTGGGTTCTGGCCTGAATTCTTCCTGAAATCCGCAGCCATGATCAGCGGCCGTGTTCGACTCATCTGCAAAATGAGATTTGTTCATGGTTCCTTTGTCCCTTTTGTGGTGGTTTCACATCACCTGGTTCCCAATGTCAAGTCGAGCTTCCCAGTGGGACCAAGTCATTGGTCTGGAAACCCATTGGAACACCTGGGTGTCTGTCGAATCTAAGACAAACGGCACCATTGGTTTACGGGACAACTGGAAATCCCAACGCTTGGGGTCGCCATTTTGTAGAGGTCGTCTCAAGATCACCCAAGAAAAAACCACAGGAGAAGGATAGGTCGTCGTGTCGATTTTTCCAAACTCCCGCGAAGTTTTCATTTAGAACGTAGGTCAAAGACCCTTCCTTCCCGTTGTTGTTTGAGGCTCGGTACTCTTTTCGGGGATTCAAAGGGACGCCAAAGGAAAGGGAAAGCCATCACATTGGGTGACCTATTGTCAGATGGGTGTGTTTTTTCCCACAAATTGGTGGAACCAAAAGGCAACAAAAGGTACCCTCAAAACACACACCCAGACACACCCACATAGTCCATACAACCAACCGTTGATTTAGACTGGAGCAGCGGTTCTTTTAGCTCTTCTTATCACGTCGCTGAGTTGTGTTTTTCCTCTTTCCCCATAAAAGATGCCAACGCCCTAGAAGGGTTCCCCTTTTTCTGCTAGGGTCACTGGTTGCGACTGGGTTGTCGCACGGCTTAGTTTGGCGGACAACTTGAGAAGGGCTTTGCAAGGGGCCAGAGCTGGTGGAGCAAACGTTGCGGGTGGAATCCTGCAAATACACCGTGGAAGTTTTTTAGAGCCATGAGCCACGGGCATACAACTTTGAAGTTCGATATATTGAAGCTGCTATTTCAGCAGTTGGATCTGTAGGTGCCATATGGCTGTGTCTTTTCTTGGTATACACTGTTGACAGTCTTTTTGAAGTCTCCGGCAAACCTGCTTGGAAAGACACTCGAGGGCAGGGGGTTAGTACATGCAAAGCCCCGAAAAAACAACAACACAAAGTTGTTGTTTGAGGGGCCTTTTTGGGTTTCTTCTGCAAATTTGTATGGGAGTTAGGTCAATTGCGGATCCTTGAAGATATTCTGTTTCCCACGTCCATGTTAACAGGTGACGCCCAGTTCAGGGCATTGATCCCCACAAGAGAATGGGTATGTTCTAAAGCTTTCCAGACTTAGAGAACACCCAGTCGTTGGGTTTGAAGCACTAGACAGGGAATATCATGGAATCAATCGACCAAAGCGTTTACCCTCCCACCAACAAACACGGAAGTGCACAAACCCCTTTCCAAGAAAAAACGTAGTGTACAGAAATCTTGGCACTTCCATGTTAGTTGGTGGGAGGGTAGCCGTTTTTTTAAGTTCAGAGGCGCTGGCGCGGTGCTGGGAATCGTTTTTGGCTTGACTCGACAGGCTGGATCCGCGTGCTGCAAGTGCTGCAGCTTTCAGAGTACTTCGGCACTTTGCTGATCACCATCTTCGGCATGGCGAAGGAGACGCTTTTGCGATGCAGAGTCCGTCTCTGTGTGCTCGGCCTCGTTTTGGTTTGGTCTAAAGGGAATCCAAAAGGAAAACCTCTCCTTTTAGGGTTCGAAGCACTGCACGCAGCTCGGCCCTTCGGTCGAGAGTCGGCTGATTCCAGGACGCAGTCAGATTCTTCATTCTGGTGGTGATTTTCTGTTTCGGGCGCTCTGCTCAGATCCGTTTCGCGCTGTGGGCTGGCTTCTAGCTGGTCCTGCCACCTAAGGGCAGCGACAAAATCCCAAAGGCCAATCCCCCGATGACCAACCAGTAGCTGCTTCTGATGCGACTGCAACTCGGGTGTTTTGCAGCAATGCCCGCGTCTTGCATTTCAGAGAATCTGCAGAAAGCGCATCATGTGTTCACTTTTAGCAGTTGAATGGATCCGTGTGGCGAGTTCAGGTTCAGCTGCGCCATCACTCCCATCCTCTTCAGCAGCGGGGTCGAACGAGACGAGCAGGAGGGGGCAACTTGCGACCGGGGTGGGGCGATCGGCAATAGCCCTGGTTGAATCTCTCCCAGGGATTCCAGTCACGCGGGTTTTAGGCAATCAAGAGATCCCTTCAGCCACAAGGAAAACGGGTTCCCTACTATAGTGGTATCTGGGATCCGCTGGGCAGGGTTAAACACTTGTTTTTAACCTGCTAGTTTCCACATTTTCTGGCCTGACCAGGAACTGAGGAGAGGATTTGCTCGTGTCGCCGGACCGTTTCATGAACCGGAAATGCCTCGCTCCCTGAGTTTTTGGACTTGCCCTCAAAACACCCCAGGGATGGGAAGACTCTAGTGGCAAGCAAAAGTTTGGACTTGGGCTTTGCCAGGGAGAAATGTGGGGGTTACCAAAAAAAAACAAGCAGCTTGGCCGTGCTGAGAATCGTATGTTTCAGATGTTTTGCAGGATTCCCCGTGAATTAGGTGAATTCTCCGTTCCATTCATACAAAGCCTGAGCGAAGCCCACTAAAAAGGCAGCTTGTTTGGGGCTTCGCATATCCAAACCGCCAATTTCTTGCTGGTCACCGAATCAAGAGGAGTGTAAAGGAAGCCACTTTGGTTTTGGCCGCCAGTCCACCTCTCATTCCATGAGAACCATGAGCTCAGGGCCTCATCTGGGTTTTCTGGACCATTGTGGGCAACCTGGACGACAAGGCCCTGACAAAGCTTTCCACGCTGACTGGCCCCACCAGGCGGGAAAATGTGGCGAGGGCGTGCAGTGGGCCCGATCTCTATGTTTCCGTCCGTTTGCTGGACTGTATGGCCTACAAGGGAAGACAATACGAAAGCCGCCATTTGTCTTTTTCCGAACTCCTGTTTTCCGCAAGGGCCACGGCGGCCTAAATAGCTTGAAAGGGTTTGCGGCGGATGTTGAATCCAAATTCAGTTATGATCATCAAAGAAAAATGTTTCTAATCATTTAGCCCCTTACGTTGCAGGTTTTAAAATACCCCGTAATTTCTTGGTTTGGATTGCTGTGGAGACTAGTGGACCAAAGGTAAAGCTGCACATGGGCCGGACTCGGCTTGTGGCCAATGTAACCATCCGTGTGTGCCGCCACGCATGACTTGTCGAGGCCTTTCGCCCTGCATGCTGGTGTTTAGGATTAGGTTTTTGGTGCTTGATTTTAGGGTTCGGGTTCAGGGGGCTTAGGTTTAGTTTTTCGAGTGGCCGGGTTTAGGTGCAGGCTTTTTGGGGATTGTGTTGGTCGGAGCTTAGCCCTCCGCCCGAAAACACTGGCCCACAGCAAGCTGAACCAATGAGGGGCGCTGATCACATGGATTGCCCGCATGGAGTGTCTCTTTGGTGCTCAGAGCTTGGAAGAAGTGCGAGACTCCCTAAGCCGTATGGCACCTCGGCATGTCCTTGTTTGGAGGGCATATTGGTTGGTTCTGTTTTATAGGCAAGCTATAAAAAAACAACGGCAAGTCTCAGTAGCACAGATAGCACCAAGCTTCAGGTGTGGGTTCTCAAATATGGATGCTGATATACCACCAATACTAGCTGGTAAGCCAATATAACCTACCTCATATACCCCTTATGTGGTATATAACTTTCCGCCAATGAAAATGCCCTTCACCCCACGTCAAGGCTGGTCGCCGTGGTCTTGCTCTACACCTTGGCCTTGGTGTGCAATGTGCCACGCGCTCGGTACGCCGACGGGGCACCCAACATGGAACCTTGGCATTGGAAACAAGGACTAAACCTGCAGTCCCCTGTTTTTGATTTTGACCCACATCCAAATACGGACCCCAGGGACACCAAAGGGAGCCCTGTTCAATTCGGGCTTTGGATTTTGAGAAATACCGATTTCTGGCAATTTGTTCTACCTTGTCTCATGGTTGTATGGGCTGTAGAAACAAACAACATATATGGCCATTTTTGGTAGAACCGAAAGTCAGCGCGGGGTTTGGGCACCGGTCACATCTGGTCATTTGTTTCTCAAAGTTAGAACCCTGGTTGAAACCATTGGACAGTTCAGATGTCGCGCTCCAAATCCCTGGGAGTTCTGATGCGCATGATGCTGATGATGATGGGGTAAATGCCACAGATGGCACACGGATCACGGATGGTGCCACGCATCAGGGGACAAACGCCACTTAATTCTGTCGAAGCAGCAGGATGTGTCGATGCAGCAGCAGCAGCAGCAGCAGCAGCAGCAGCAGCAGCAGCAGCAGCAGCAGCAGCAGCAGCAGCACGCCGGTGAATCGGATTCGGATGAGCCACAGCCATAATTGATGATGGCAAGAGCTACTTTAAGACTTTGGCAGTTTGGATCTACTCTTTGTTTGCAAATTCTTCTTTGCACCAGTGATCAAGAAGACACAACCCAAAGAGGAGCACTGAGTACAACAGCCAAAAAGAGCATCTTGGGGATTTAGAATCCTTGATCCAAGGTTCCTGATCCCAGGGTCAACTTTGAGTTGCCACACTCATCAGGCATACCGTTTTGTTCTTCAGGGATACAGGGTTGACCCCTTGGCAAAGTTTTCCCTGGATTTGCTCCAGCCTCCCTCATTATGTCGGCTCAGTTTTCGCAATGTTGTATTCGCCTGCGACTGCGGATGAAGCCTGGCTGATGAATCGGGGATGTCGGATCCATGTGATCCGAATCCCCAGCCACGCCCTAATCTGAGTGTTTTTGTTCATAGGCAGCATCCCCGTCCCGCAGCATCCCCATAGCAATCCACGGCCAGAAGCTTTCAATCGCCAGGCCCCATGGAAGTGATTCCAAGTTCCATTTCCCGAAGGGAACCACAAGTCAGGCGATCGGGTCAATAGACACCACAAGTCTGGATCAACGTTTAGCTTGGTAAAATCCAGTGACCCCTGGTTGACCCCTCTTGTCAACACGGGCTATACACCCTTCAGCGATCACCCCCAATCGTGGCGAGCCGAGGCTCCTGGTGAATTTGCTCATCGCCGTGATGAACAGCACGTACGAGAAGAACCAGGCCTTTCACATGGGAGACCCTTGCCATGGGTTGAGAAAGACCCCGTAGCCATGGCGATAGGACCCTTCATGGTTGTTGTTGGGAAACATTTTCCCATTTTTGTTTATTGTGGTTTAGTGGTGGACATCCAACCACTTAACTGCTAAATTTTGAGAATCTTTGCTCCCCTTCCAACACCAACCAAGTTCAGGGATCGCTGAAGATGCGGATGGTTGCAAAATCCAATTCGCGCCAGTCAGAAACCTGGAATGATGATTCCCATGCAAATAGCAATGCAGTGGTGGCCCATAGTTTCAAGTTGGTGCAGGATTTTGTCCATCGCACCAAAAGAAAGCCGGGGGTCCAAAGCAGGGTTCCTTAAAGGATACATTTTGCAAGTCCTCTAAATCAGCTTGTAGAGGAGATTGAAAGGTTTTTGTTTCCTGGCCAAACACATACTGTCCCTTCCATTTTTTCAAAGCTTCGTTGCCCCTCTGGTGGTTGGAAGCCTAACAGCAAGGTACCCAGGTACCCAACTTAGCACAAAACACCGGTGCCTTTCCGGACCCCTTTGAAGGTTCCAGTTTTCTGGCGGTTGCCTTGGTAGATATGACTTACCCAGGATTCATCAACCCTGGGTTGATTCATGGTGCGAGGAGACCCCTTTAAGAGGGGGATTTCGCGTGTCGCGGGGTCTTTAAGAAGGTGGAAAACACGCACTCAAATCCAACAACACCATCGCCCTGTTCCGCTCCAAGGAGTCAATTTAACAAAAAGAAAGCATGCGTTGCTCTTTCAACCTTGCATGAGGTTGTTGAGGAAGCCATGACAGCAGTTTCTCGTTTGAAATCTCCACAGCCAAAACTGCCGGGTTGCATGAGAGGCGGACACAAATGAGGCCTCTATGTTTTTGTTTGCACCGGGCATTGGCGAGTCAACGATCTCTATATATATATATATATCTCTTGCCAGGTGCGACCTCTGGAAGAGATTGAAGCTTTGGGTCCATTCAATGAAGTGGAGAATCAGCAGGAACTCAGCCTGAAGATCAGATCATGGACCCGTGTCCTTCCGCCTTGTCAAAACGTGCCGCGCACTTCTCGTGCTTAGTCCGGAGTGCCACCACTTCGTCAAGCCCATGTCTGCACATTGCCTGCTCTTCACTTCCGCCGTTCGCACTTGGGGACCGCATTGATTACTTTGCTCCCCTGCCAACCCATATCGCTTGAGGTTTACACGATGGGTTCAACTTGCTACCTAGATAGTTTCCCTCACTAGCCACGACACTGATAACTGCAAGCATTGGGAATGCCAACTTGGGACTTTCACAGGGATATGGCCATGCTGATCAGAGGAGTCTCCCTTGGGTTTATGTTTGGTGGTTGAATGCTTTTGTTGTACCATGCTTCCCTTCCGTTGGAATGTGTGTTCAAGTCGGGAAACCTCAGGCAGTTCCATGCATGCTTAGACACTGTTTCCGGTTTCAAATTGCTCATTAGACATTGACGCCTTCTAACTAGATATTGGTGGGAATCTGATTTGGTTGCGGGTTGCATGCCTTCTCACTGGACATCCGTAGCAGTTTTCAGTGGTGATAAACCTTCCTCCCCTACTTGGCAGTATGTGTGACAAGATGTTGCTTTTGAAATGTTTTGAACTCCAAAACTTAAGAGAGCAGCGCCCCTACAACCAAGTCATTGACGATTTTGGGAGGTTCACGGCTGCCTTCCCATCTTAAAGAACCCTTGGAGTGGTGAGTTTTCGAGGGTTAGATCAATGCTTAGCGAACCCAGTTGAAAGGGTTCAGGGACTGAAGATTGGTGCAAACACCAAGCCAAGTCCCAGACCATCTACGAGGTTAGTTTCTTGGAGTAACTTCCACTTACCAGTTGAAATTTCCCCCTGTCTCCTTCTGGGCAAGGGTGTCCCTTTCGAATCAACCCCAAGTTTGTCCCTTGCTTTCCCCTGGAACTCCATATGAGCAACAACCAAAACTCGGGTAAGTAAAGGTTAGTAAGGGACGATCCCAGCCATAAATAGCTTCGGAAATCCGCCTTCTTAGTTCTTGAAGCATGATGCTGGGATTACGACCATTTTTGTGCCGGGTTTTGAGCAAGTGACGCATATCCGTTGGCACAAACGTCTCAAGCCGGCCACCATGAGCCGCCGGCTCTAGGCGGTGTCCCAGACGCAGTGGGCCTTCTACCGGGCCCGGGCGCCCGCCAGCCGCAAGCCGCACGCCGAGCGCCAAAGACGCGGATCCCAAAAGCCGAGGCCCAAAAAAGGGCCATTTGAGTAGGCGGTTCTACTAGGTCTTATTGGTTATAGTAAGGCCTACACCTGTATACCGTTCAACCATTTTGATAGAACTTCCGATAGCACTAAAAATCAATGCAGTTTGGACGTTGCTCAGTTTTGGGTCTATCTTAGTTTTCCCCAAGAGGATTTGATGGAAGGTTCCTTGAGTTGTTTTGTTTTTCTGTTATTTGTTGTTGGGGGGGTTCCCGCAAAGGGGTGTGACACGAAGAGTTGTTTCATGGACTTTTCCGATAAAGGCTTTGGAACATTGTCCGTCCTTGCGTGAGGTTGAAGCTGTCCTGGAGTTTGATCACGAGTCGATTCTGCCAGCGGCTCAGAGCATTGATCGAACAAAAGGCACAACTTTGGATAGGGTTCGCCCAATTTACGTTGGGCTCGCCAACGTGGGACCTGCTTGGGCATGGCTCCCGCGTTTGTGACACAGAGGCAATCGCAGAAGCTGGCGATCCCTCCAATTTGTTGCGTCATACAAAGGGCATAGCTTTGATTTGGAAAACGCGAAACACCTGAAGCCGACACGACAACACTGGGACCAGAGGAATGCAGTGCTAGTGCGAAAGAGGCTATTTCAGCTGCGCAAAGCAGGACGTAGCCCAACGCATCAAAGGCTCCTTTGAACTGTGTTGGGGTTTGCCTGATACACATCTTTGGGGGAGGGTACCTTCCCTATTCTCTGCAAGGATCCTTCTTTCTAGACAATCATTGAAACCCAAAGGAACGTTTTGGTTTTGGAACAGAACAGTGGTTGAACATGGGAAAGGATCAAGACCTAGAAACTTTGTAAAGGGCAGAATGCTTGTTCCTCACGTTGGCACCTCTTGCCAACAGCCCCATCCGCTTTGGATTGGATGTGCCAAGTCAGTGAGCTGTTAGACATCTATCCCCACAACTCCCGCAAGAAGGTGAACTCAGGTCGGAATCAGAACCTGTGTGAAGCTCTCAATATTATTTTTTTCAAAAAAATTTTTTGGGGGGGGGTCAGTCTCCAAAAGTGACCTGGTACAAAACGGGGGCATCCCCAGCTCCAAATCTACCAGAGAGCTTTTTCTGGAACCAAGACGTCTCCGCCTTGGATCCTTTGAATCCGTTGGCCATTGCCCCATTGAGCTTCGGTCGAATCTAGGGTCCCACGCAGGTATCTCCAGTGAGGCCGCCTTTGTTTCTCTTCGTTTTGGAGGTGACTCCCTTTCAGGTCAAGTAACAACAATAAACGTGCACGTAGTGATGTGCCCCTTCTTTTCTGTCTTGCAGGGGGTTGTCATCAAAGTCTACAAAAGCGGTTCCCTTTGATTGGCCACTTGGGGTCTGGGTTTAAACCTTGTGTTTGTTCGTGCAGCGAGTGCGTACGCGGGTGCGGAGCACGCACATTGTCCTTCGGCCTATGGTGACTGTAGGGTTCACAGACACGGAGGCCTCATGTTGTTTTTCACCCGGCGCGGGCCGTGTTCAGCGGGGTGTTCTGCATGGCACTCTCCGTGGCACGCGTGAATCAAAGGAAAGCCAGGGAGCCGTGTTCTTGTTTGTAGGAGCAGGAGAAACTCTCCTGTGACTGCCGAAGGTAAAATGCTCCGGCTACCTTTGGTGATACATAAAACATCGCGCGAAGGCGGCATAGAAGCGCTCGTGGCACGCATTTCTGGGGAGTATCCCTTACATGGGTATAGTTTTCAGCCATAGGAAGTACTCAAAGGCCGAATGTCGTCCCCAGTTTCTACAGTAAGCAAAGGGCTCCTTTGGTGACCTATACATAGGAATGGGTCAAAATTGCACCACCAGGAATTGGACCGCAGGTTTTAGTCCATGTTTCCATTTTTAGTCCATGTTTCCATTGACCGGGTTCCATGTTGGGCCTATTCGTGTGTGGCTCAAAATAAAGCTGTGGCTAATTACGCATATTTTAGCCTTCCTTCCCATTGAGCAGGTGCCATTTTGAGTGCCATTTTTTGAGCCAACCGCTTTTTTGTGCACAGCTGGAATTGTTGGGCCAAAGCAACCCGTGCTTCTGAGGCCCCCGCCCTTGAACCTGCTGGAGCCCTGGCTCCGGAGTGTCAACACCTCCAGTGAGGCGAATCGGGGAATCGGCGGCGGGCGGTGGCGAGGGATCTGCGGCATCCGCGGTGCGGTTTGGGGGGGGGGCGGTGGCGAGGGGAGACGGGCGTTCCCAGACCTCCAGTGAGGGGTTCCCAAGCCCTTCAAAAGTTCTGCAAATTTATAGGGTGGAGGGGAGGAGGGGGGGGATTTGCTTTGAAGGCTCAATTCGCCTAAAATCGAGGCCGGGAAGTTTCCTGTGGTCTTCCTTACGGGAAGTCGGACACGCAACTGTTTCAGCTTCTCTCTAATTTGTGGTTTGGATTGATGGTTTGGAGGTTAGGGGTGGTTTCCCATTTACCCTTCACAAGAACCAGGGGTTCAAATCCAATTCCAAACCACCAATCCATTCCACCAATCAAGGCTTACCTGAATGTTTGTACTGAGTGGTTTTGCATGTTTAGCCAACCAGGAGTGCTTCCTTGTCCCCTCATTTTCCTGCTGTTGGACCTGCAAAAAGTGGCAACTGTGTCGGAAACCACCAGCAAACTGCAACTTGCGAACGGAACACCAGAGACGCCCCTAGGGGATCGTGGCTAATTATTTGATAAGCTGATAAGCTCACCTGAAGTGAACAGCATCTCACCATGATTTCGGTTCTTTTACCCGGGGATTCCTTGGACCTCGCCATGATTTGCTGGACCTAGAATCTAGGATCTCACCATGATTCAGGTTTGTAGGTTCACATGCACCCTGCTGCGCCTAATCTGACATTTCCTTTGGTGCATTTTGCCAAGGGAAATTAGGACTGAACAACTTTTTGCCAACTACTGGGTTTTCCGCATTAAACCACTAAAAGTTAATTAATAGCTTTTAGCAGGGCTTCGCAGATTTCGCCACCGAGTTTCGGTGACCGGGGAGTCCATTTCGGGAAGCCGCGGGGGTTTCAGGACGACGCTGCCGCCGGCCATGACCACGACATCTCAGTGACCCGGCGGGACCTCAAGGCGGGGGACGTGAGTCGAGGAGAGGAGCTTTGGGAAGAAAGGCGACCCAGGGGAAGAAAGGTGAAGCCTTAAGGTTATGTGTGTTTTTGCTTGTTGGGGACGTAGATTCATAGCTTAGTGGACTGCTTTAAGCCCCAAGCCCTATCGTATTGGCTGAATCTCACATAGACTTGTAACCACAGCGACTTGCCAGAATCAGACCTGTTGTTTGAATGTTCGGGTTTCAACAGGCTGCGCTGTTATATGTCTAGGTCTGTTGGGCAAGTGCGAAGTCGGCGGTGTTTTAAGCGTACATGGGTGAGTTGGTGACGTCTTATCTGGAAATGTCGACTTGAATTTGTAACGGGTGTAAGCTTGAATATCTTTCAAAGTATATGATTTACACATTTTCTGAATTGGGGGCATGTTTTTTTTTTTTTTTTTAATGTTTCCTGTTTTTAGGAGAAACTACTGGTCAGTACTTATTCAATGTATTTTTCATTCACCTACCCTTCATATGAGCCACGGACAAAACACGCGTAGACCACTTTATCAAGACGGGGCACGCTTTTGAGTAACACATCCCAAAACCATGGAAAACGATGAGGTCTCCCCCAAAAACGATGACCCTTAACGAACACACGGCTCTGTAAATACGACACTTGTACTGAGAAGTTGCGATTTTCGAGCTGGAGATGCGGAAGTGTACTTCGCGTACAGCCTAGGCTTGTACTACAAAGCTGCGATTTTCGAGCTGGAGCTGCGGAAGTGTTCTTCGCGTACTAGACTTGTACTACAAAGTTGCGAATTTCGAGCTGGAGCTGCGGAAGTGTACTTCGCGTACTAGACTTGTACTACAAAGTTGCGATTTTCGAGCTGCAGAGGCGGAAGTGTACTTCGCGTACTAGACTTGCACTACAAAGTTGCGATTTTCGAGCTGGAGATGCGGAAGTGTACTTCGCTTACTAGACTTGTACTACAAAGTTGCGATTTTCGAGCTGGAGCTGCGGAAGTGTACTTCGCGTACTAGACTTGTACTACAAAGTTGCGATTTTCGAGCTGGAGCTGCGGAAGTGTACTTCGCGTACTAGACTTGTACTACAAAGTTGCGATTTTCGAGCTGAAGATGCGGAAGTGTACTTCGTGTACTAGACTTGTACTACAAAGTTGCGATTTTCGAGCTGGAGATGCGGAAGTGTACTTCGCGTACTAGACTTGTACTACAAAGTTGCGATTTTCGAGCTGGAGATGCGGAAGTGTACTTCGCGTACTAGACTTGTACTACAAAGTTGCGATTTTCGAGCTGAGATGCGGAAGTGTACTTCGCGTACTAGACTTGTACTACAAAGTTGCGATTTCGAGCTGGAGCTGCGGAAGTGTACTTCGCGTACTAGACTTGTACTACAAAGTTGCGATTTTCGAGCTGGAGCTGCGGAAGTGTACTTCGCGTACTAGACTTGTACTACAAAGTTGCGATTTTCGAGCTGGAGATGCGGAAGTGTACTTCGCGTACTAGACTTGTACTACAAAGTTGCGATTTTCGAGCTGGAGATGCGGAAGTGTACTTCGCGTACTAGACTTGTACTTCAAAGTTGCGATTTTCGAGCTGGAGCTGCGGAAGTGTACTTCGCGTACTAGACTTGTACTACAAAGTTGCGATTTTCGAGCTGAAGATGCGGAAGTGTACTTCGACTAGTACTACAAAGTTGCGATGATCGAGCTGCGGAAGTGTACTTCGCGTACTAGACTTGTACTACAAAGTTGCGATTTTCGAGCTGGAGCTGCGGAAGTGTACTTACTAGCTTGTACTAGACTTGTACTACGAGTACTACAAAGCGATTTTCTGAAGCTTCGCGTACTAGACTTGTAGTTACGATTTTCGAGCTGTGCGGAAGTGTACTTCGTGTACTAGACTTGTACTACAAAGTTGCGATGATCGAGCTGGAGATGCGGAAGTGTACTTCGCGTACTAGACTTGTATTACAAAGTTGCGATTTTCGAGCTGAAGATGCGGAAGTGTACTTCGCGTACTAGACTTGTACTACAAAGTTACGATTTTCGATCTGAAGATGCGGAAGTGTACTTCGCGTACTAGACTTGTACTACAAAGTTGCGAATTTCGAGCTGGAGATGCGGAAGTGTACTTCGCGTACTAGACTTGTACTACAAAGTTGCGATTTTCGAGCTGGAGCTGCGGAAGTGTACTTCGCGTACTAGACTTGTACTACAAAGTTGCGATTTTCGAGCTGGAGATGCGGAAGTGTACTTCGCGTACTAGACTTGTACTACAAAGTTGCGATTTTCGAGCTGGAGATGCGGAAGTGTACTTCGCGTACTAGACTTGTACTACAAAGTTGCGATTTTCGAGCTGGAGCTGCGGAAGTGTACTTCGCGTACTAGACTTGTACTACAAAGTTGCGATTTTCGAGCTGGAGATGCGGAAGTGTACTTCGCGTACTAGACTTGTACTACAAAGTTGCGATTTTCGAGCTGGAGATGCGGAAGTGTACTTCGCGTACTAGACTTGTACTACAAAGTTGCGATTTTCGAGCTGGAGATGCGGAAGTGTACTTCGCGTACTAGACTTGTACTACAAAGTTGCGATTTTCGAGCTGGAGATGCGGAAGTGTACTTCGCGTACTAGACTTGTACTACAAAGTTGCGATTTTCGAGCTGGAGCTGCGGAAGTGTACTTCGCGTACTAGACTTGTACTACAAAGTTACGATTTTCGAGCTGAAGATGCGGAAGTGTACTTCGTGTACTAGACTTGTACTACAAAGTTGCGATGATCGAGCTGGAGATGCGGAAGTGTACTTCGCGTACTAGACTTGTACTACAAAGTTGCGATTTTCGAGCTGGAGCTGCGGAAGTGTACTTCGCGTACTAGACTTGTACTACAAAGTTGCGATTTTCGAGCTGGAGCTGCGGAAGTGTACTTCGCGTACTAGACTTGCACGACAAAGTTGTGATTTTTGAGCTGGAGATGCGGAAGTGTACTTCGCGTACTAGACTTGTACTGCACAGTTGCGATTTTCGAGCTGGAGATGCGGAAGTGTACTTCGCGTATTAGACTTGTACTGCCTGCCAAGTTTCGCTTTTCGAGCTGGAGCTGCGGAATTGTATTTCGCAATTTTCGGGCTGGAGCTGCGGAAGTGTACTTCGCGTACTAGACTTGTACTACAAAGTTGCGAATTTCGAGCTGGAGCTGCGGAAGTGTACTTCGCGTACTAGACTTGTGCTAGAAAGTTGCGATTTTGGAGCCGGATCTGCCAAAGTTCGAAAACACTGTAAAACGATGAGGTCTCCCCCAAAAACGATGACGTTAAAAAAAGTACTAAGGCCAAGTAAAGGGTTTCGTCCGCTCCTCATATGCATATACGCAATATGTTGCGGTATATGGTATGTATATATATATACACACATCAAAGGTACCGTTGAGGTGAGGGGCGCTGCTCCCTGGCTTTCATGGTGGTGGCAAGCATGGGTTTCGCATGCGCCCCATGTCGCCCCAACCAGTAGCTCGACATATTTTTCGCAGCGCACAAGAACAAGCGGTTTCTGGACAGACGCTGTCAAACTTTGCAATCAACCCCGCAGTCCAGACTCCAAAAATTCCAGCCCAAGCTGAAACAATAGCCCAAACAACACAAGAACCATCCCAAGACCTGGTCCAGGCACAAACGGTCAGACCAGGCAACCGCTAAACATCTTCAAGCTGAACGCGGCATGGCCCAAGCGCATGCTAAGCGATGCGGAAACACGCGTAGCTCCGGATGATGCCCGTAGATGAGACGCTGGGCTCGAGCGTCCCAATCTCCAAGCAAAACTACATGGGGCATTCTACGGATCCCTGGTCGTTAACTATACAAAGTGGGTACATGTATTCAGCAGAGTTTCGGGGGCTGTACGAGGGCCCCGAACAACGTGTTTTCTAGGACGGATTTGTCTACCCCCAACTACTATATGCATTCTACAGCCTTTATGTACAGGTCCGAATCCCCTATGTTCAAGTGGTTCCAAGTTACAAGTCTGGTAGGTTTTGTTTGGTTCTGTTGGTTCTCCACAAAACCAGGTGTACGAAGAATCATTTTCCTGGTGCATGCTGGTTTAACAAGAGTGGTTCCCTTCATTACCTCCAAAACCGTTTCGGCGTCGCCGGGTTCTCGGAGCCTTCGAACCGAACTCCTTGCGACAGGATGCACAGACGCGGGCCTTCAGGGCCATCACCTTCGAGGAGGACTCAGCGCCAGGGAAGCTGAGAGGCGCCCATTGGCTTTGTATCTGAATGTTTGACCTCCCTGTCCGTCAACCCCAGTTTATTAATGAGGGGGTGTTCCCCTCCAAAAGTGAACAATCCCCACCAAAACCAGGGACACCCCCATATTAATGAACAGGGGTTTATTTCTAGGGGGTCTTCATTAGCATCATTTTCCATTTGCTTCGGCTGAAAAGCATCATGACTGGTGATCGTCGTATGGGTCCATTTGCTTATAGGAATATGTGTTAGTTTCGCCTGTTTTTTTTTGGAGGGGGGGCACCGAGTTCACTGCTGGATGTTGTTGTTGTTGTTTTTTTTCTTCAGGGGGCGTAGGCAAATATTTTTCAGGGGGCGTAGGCAAATAGAAGGATGTTTTGGAAGACAAATACTGTTGACCCCCACCTGTTTGATTTTGAGAGATGGGGGCGCCCAAAAGGTGTCCCCTTTTGCTGGCCATTCATCAAGTTTGGAGGGGAACACCCCGCTATAGAACCGGTTTGTTAATCCGGGATCATCATTATGGGTGGCTCGTCCGGAGCCCCAAACTGGCGGTTTTCGGTTTTCCACTTGGTTTGCCCTTGATACCAGCAACAAAAGGGCTACCAACTCCAAACAGACACACACACACACATACAGCACTATAGGCTGAAGAATTACTCACATGTTTTTTCTCCCATGGTCATGACTTAATTTAGCTTGATGATACCCCAACCCCGATTATGATTATTTCGCGCCCTATTGCTTTCCTTTTGGGGAGCGGAAGGTGAAACCATAATCTATTGTTTAGAAACGATATCCAGGTGAAACCACAGCGCATCCAGTTGCTGGCTTTTGTTAAACGGTATGGTGAAATCCCGATGTACTGTATCAGCTTCGCTCTATGGCCTTCGTAGTTGGTGGTTTAGAATTGGTGGTTCGGTGGTTAAGGGTAGTTCCCAATTTCCCTCAACAAGAACTACGAACTAAGGGGCACCTGGCAGTAGACTCAAGTTGGAAGGAACTGGAGAGAAAAGAATTGGCAAGCTAGGGACTTTATTCCTTGTCCTTTCTTTTGACCCATCCTTCTGTTCAGATTTCTCGTTGGGTGTTGAGCCGTTCGAATTTGTTGAAGAGAAGGAACCCGGAACAGGATGGGGGAAGTACCGCTAGAGGCAATAATAGGAAACGGTATCAGGGCGAAACCACAACTTCTCCCCGCCAGGTGATGCAAAACAGACACACACACACACACTTTGATCGTATAAGATAGCAGGGAACAAATGCCACAGTCGATTTATGCTACATAACTACAAAGCAAGTAGACTGGCGGAAAGACGTTGTTAGCTACCTTGAGCTTGTTCCCTGCTTGCAACAATTTAGGGAATCATCCCTGCCGCGAGGGGAACATATCATATGGCAGCGGGGGACAACCCATCCAAATGGTTACTAGACGTAAATCCCCACCTAAATGATGTCCTCCAAAGGTTCCCCAATTCAATTCCATCTAAGGGTTAAAGTCACAGTATCACCATACAATCATCGCACAAGGGTTCTATACCCCATTGTTGTCTGCTCAGATCGACTCACCAGAGGGCAACACAGGGAGCTCTGCTCCCTTTGCTTGAGATGTTTTGGATCGTGCCCTAGGAACCCACAGCCTGAAACAACGGTTACTTTGGTGGGGTCAACCGCCTTCAGGGTCCAAGGGCCCTTAGGCATACGGGGGTATCTTTGGGGGGGTATCAGTTTTTGTTCTTGTTGGTGACACGGGACACCCCAAGAGGCTCCCACTGTCTTGACACATACCCGTTTGGATTGCAGGGTCAGGACGAGGGAAACCAAGGGGCCCTCAAAACCCCAAACTGGTGGCCCTGGGAGTGACACGTTGGGTTCCGAGATCGGATGCGAATTACACATCGTATGGCGATCGGAATTGGTTTGCGTGTAAATGGCACATTTGAAAATAGGGGTTCCCTCCTCAAAAAACAGGTGCTGGTTTAACGCCCCGCTCCCGTCCCCCAAAAACAACACTTGCTGGCTGTCCGTAATCCACCGGAATAAGAAGAAAAAACAAAACGGTGAATTTGTGGTGCTCCTTTCTGGACTGGCAGTTTGTAGCAAGGAGCCAGATGGGTATGGGTCAAAATTGCACCAGGAATTGCACCGCAGGTTTTGGTCAATGTTTCCACTTGCCAGGGTTCCATTTTGGGTTACCCTATTGTGGATGGAAGAAAATCCTGCACCACTTTGAAACCATGAGAAACCTTTGTTGAATCCTTCCAGGCTTTCTTAGGTGCTGCGAAACGGATTTCGCAACCATCCACCGTATTTTCACCACAGCCCTTCAGGCCTTATTTCGGGTTTCTTACCTCTTAAAAACACAACTTTTCAACTTTTTGGGTAACATGGGCTATATGTCTGTAAAACCCCCCCCAGCCCCTTATGACCTCTTTGTGACCACCGCCCGAGGGTTTTTAGGACACCGGGGAGAGCGCCATGCTGCGGGCCGAGCTGGCAGAGCTGCGGCTGAAGCGGGGGAAGCCCAGCAAAAAAACGTCCACTGGGAACGGGGAGATCGGTCTTTTTGGGGGGTTGTTTTTTTGGGGGCCGCTTTTAGGTGGATTAACCCCTGAAAGGATAGTTTGGGGGTTGTTTGGGTGGATGTTGGTCAGTGGTTGTTGGTTGCCATTTTTAGGTTTTTTTTTTGGGGGGTCCTTTGGACCCCTCAGGGTTTTGGGCTCGTAGGGAAAGGGAAGCCAAAGGAATCCGAGCGGGCGAATTCCTGGAGTCGAGTTGGGCGATGGATCAAGACGACTGAATCCCAGACACTGGTAGCTTGCTTCCTCTTGTCCCTTCTTCTTTGAGGGGGGTGGACACGATTTGTTTCAGGTTTTTCAGGTTAGTTCAGACTCTCCTGGTTGGCTGGCAGCCATGGACAAACGCAGGATAGCAGAGACTAGTAAACCTCCTGTACGACCATGCTCATAAGTTGCCAGTGGCTCCCAGACATCTTTTGTCTCGCTTCAGAAACGAATACCCCAGAAAGCCACTGGGGTCCGGGCTTCCCAATTGTGCGGCAACCAGTTGCATGATAGCGTCACCCTTGCTGGTAACCTAGTCCACAAAGTCATGCTGACATTTTGTTTAAACGTGTGTGTCTCGGAGAACGGACGCTTTCAAGACCCCCCAAAAGGGAAAACACAACAGTTTGGGCTACGTTTTAAAGCGCAGTTGGCCTGGTGAAGGAGATTCCCTTATTGTCACACTGACATACATAGTAAAAGCGGTGCTCGGGTGCTCCCCTTAGATCAACCCAGTTTGCATTTGGTTGCTGCCCTTTTTCAGGCGGTTTCAAGGAAAGCCAAAAGGAGAAGCCTCCCATTTTGGCGAGACTTCGACTCCACTTCCATTTGCTGAAATAATATATGTTATATTTCCCCTTTTTGGTTTTGAAGGGATTTCGATTTCACTACGCGTTTTTTGTTTTTCCTTTTTCGGGGGGCGACTTCGGCAAAGGGGAAGTCCAGGAATTTGGAGCTGGCGCAGCGGAACAAGGACCTGGAAGCGCCAGGGGCCCTAACGGACCTGGGAGGGAGGAGCTGACTTTTCGGCCTTTGGCTCGCTCAGTGCTTTGCTAAGTGCGCAGCCTTTTCTTGTTGGGGTCACGCCCCAAACGCAGCAACAGCTATTGTGTGTTTGACTATTGGGTGTGGCTCCTTTTTTGGAGTTGGTGCCCTTTTTGTAACTGGTGTTTGGCACAATTGACTGACAATGGATCAAAAAGCGAAACCCAAAAGGCTCGGAAGGTGGATTCGCTTCGGACATCTGAGAATTATCCAAGGGTCATGACCCCAATGCAGATTCACTGCGTTTGAGGCCATCCGTCTTTTGTGGTTGCTTAGGGTTCCTTCACATGGCCAATCCATTCTGTGCTGAGAGAATTTGGATTCCCAAAAGCAAACCAAGTGGGGATTTGTGATTGTTTGATTGCTCTAGCCCCTCTATTTGCAAGCCATTCATGGGAACACAGTTGGTTCACATGTTGTTTGATTCGCAACTCTTTCTAGAGGAATATCCTGGTCATTTTCGCCGGGAAACACGCCTTCTTGATCCGTCAGGTTGATAATTCAACAATCATAGAATCTGACAGGAGGGTGTCAAGAAGATCACTTTCCTTTCAGGGGACCCCGGATCGTCCGCTTGAAAAGTATGTGATTCTTGGATGTGTGCGAGTCTCCTCAAGTGCCCGCAACACTGACTGGTTTTGCAACCACATGGTTGTGGGAATGTTGGCTTTGAAACCAAGCTTTTTCAAGTGACAAAGCCTTCGTGGGTGCCCTCCACTTGTCACAGACATTGGGTCAATCAAACGCAAACATGTGCAGCCAAGTCGTAGGTCAGCTCACAGACCGAAATTCATGTCCACTGCAGTCACCAGCGAGGATGGCAGCGAATTGCCTGATGGACCAGTTCGCAAAAACGGCCGGGCGCCCGAAGGAAGCGGGTCATGTCACGTGTTCAGAAAAGCACACTCTTCCGTTCGGGCAAAGGGGGGTTCCTTCAAAGTCAAGGCAAGAGTGCCCCCTTTCTCATAGCGCTGAGGACGAAGCCCATGTTTTGGGGTCAGCTTCCTATCCATTTCGCTAACCCCAACTCGGAGCAGAAAAAACGCCCCGAAGTGACGAATCCCAAATCTGGACCCGAGGCCAACCCCAAATGGACATGGGCACGGTTTCGCTTTGGGCTTCACCTTTCGCCTTATTGGAGCGAAAGCGGCGTGCAGAATGAACCGGGTGGTTTTATCTAGGGTTTGCACGTTACCCGCGGATACTATCCTCTTAGCTTTGCTTCTTCAGGACCATCCGAGTGGAGAATTGTTGTTTTTGTTGAAAACATTTGGATGTCCCCAAGGCCCCAAGGGTGTGGTCGAAATATGATGTCCCTTGGTGGGTCGGGCCTTGAAACTTGGCAGCTTCTCGCTTCCCCAGATTCTGAGCTTAGGTTTGGAATTCACCACTGTAGTGGCAAACAGGACAAAATGGGTTGCTTGTTCTGACCAATCCAACCAGTGAGACTCTGCAACCTTTGTCCAGTTCCTATGCGCCTCTGTTTTTGAGCAACTTCAACCATGGTGTTCCTTTCCCAGAGGATCCTAGTCACCCCCAATAGTACATAATGAAACTATAAAAATATACATTGTATCTACATATAAGTACCGAGCCATTGTCCATTTGTTTTGTAGGGTAGTTCCCTTGCTGACCCACAAAACCACCCCTGAAAAAGATGCTGCCCCCCTGTTGTTGCGGGTCTTTCAGAGAAAAACAACAGTTTGTTGTGGTTGTGTTTTTTTTGTGTTGGGGGGTGGGTGTTTCACAATGCAATCGCTGCAACCAGGCAACTCCTAGCTGGTTGGAAGGGAGCCAAGCAGGAGCCGGGGGTATCCCAAAATTCGCTTTCAAACGGGGAGCCTTTCGGAGCCGCCGACCGGAGTTCTGGTTAGGGACCTGGTAGAAATCACCCACCCAGCACCTGCAAGAGATACTACCTTCTGTTGTTTTTGTGGGTGTTTCAGGGGAAAAACCCGTGTGCGTTCTTTTTGGGGGTGTTTCAGAAAACCGGGGTAACTCCTCAAGTTGGTTTAGCTTGCTCCTGGAGTTCTGAGCCAGGCGCAGCTCTGCATCCCCGAGACGCCGCACCTCACGCCGGGCTCCCCCAAACTCGGCCGGGAGACTCGATGCATAGCGGGGCGCAGTACCTTGGGGTGGCTGAGCCAGGAGCCAAAAAAGATGGGCCTCGGTCCTGGGGTTGGGCTCCACATGGCTAAAATGGGCGTCTGGCACGGCCGACTTTGGCATTTTTTTTGGGGGGGAATGCATTTTTGCGGTCAATTTGTTTGACATGTTGCGGTCCACTCCTCGCAAGCAGAAAAATATCCAGTTGCCCCCCCATGGTTTGGGTATGTGGATCCCAAACATCCCGTAGATATTCCAGCGGGCCAGAAGCCGGGCTTTAAAGTAGTCTGGGCAGTAAATGTCCCATATGGTTTGACCTTCCAACCAAAAGTCTTGGTTTGGGTCCCGCAGTTTAGCACCCACGGCATTTTGGACTGGGGTTCTTAACGCCGCAGCTTTGCTTAGGAGTTCGCCCGGGCGATCTTGTCGAGTGGGTGTGTCTCAAGGTTTCGTCCTCGTTTTCTTCTCTAAACCCAACCGAAGCTGGTGCCCTCCAACTCCAACAATACACGGAGTGGAGTTCGCCCGGCAACGAGTTGGGTTCCACGTAGGTTGAGAAAAAGCTTCCTAACTCGGCCGAATGTTCAAGGTGGTTTCTGGGCGGTCCGGAGAAAGACAAAATCAGGACAAATCCACCCCGACCAGGGCGCTCAGACGCTTCGTTTGCTTGCAAGCCTAGACCAGCCGTTATTTCCACAAACAAAACACCTCAAAAAAAGAAACGTCCCCTCCCAGGGCAAACCCAGGCCAAACAAGGAAAGCACTCTGGTGGGTTTTGACAGGGGAAGAAACAAGGAAAGCACTCCGAGTTTTGGTGTGGGTTTTGACAGGGGGCGCAATGTACCACGCAAATTTCACAGAAATACCCACGAATACATTCATCGTCTCTTTGCGCCCTCAGGCCTTTCGCGTCGCCCCGGGCGCTTGCCGGGCGCCTGGATTTGTGCCTTAACCCCGGATCCAGTGCCCAAGGCCCAAGGCGGCTGTTTTGCAAATCGGAAGTGCAGACGGCTGTGGAATCCCGAAGGGGGTGGGTAGAGGCGCGCAGGGTCCCAGCGGCCCTTGGGTTCCTTAGGAGCCTTAAGGGAATCCCTGTAAAACACCTCTATAGCTCCATAGACCAGTTTTCGTTTTTCCACGGTGCCGTGCTTCTTTCGACTTCGGGAGTGTTTCCAGGAACCCACTGCAGGTCTGTGCCTTTGAGACCGGACAAAACCCCGGGTTTGTAGGGCGGGCTGACAAACCTCCCCTCCAAAAGATAATTCACTTCCATTTGCTTAAACATATTGTTTATTTTCCCCTGTTGGTTTTAAAGGGAATCTGTCACTACTGTTTTTTTTTCCCCTGGGGTCTTAACCAAATGGAAGTTCAATTTATATGTCCCCGGCTCCAGTTTTCTGGGGGTCTTCGAAGCATCGGGTGACAGGTTTTAACGCCCAGCGTTTGGAACTCCGAAGTCTTCCCCAGCTGAAAGTGTTGGGGTCTTTGCCCGGCCGAGGATTGAAAGCAGACGACTCGAATCATGGTCAGCCATGAAGGTTTGGGGGAAAAAAAACGGTCACATGTCTGGCGGCTGGGCGAAGGGCATAGGTTTTGGGATCCCTTTTTTTTCTGGTGTACTGAGTAGTATGATCTATTCGGATGGAAGTGTGGGATTGCCTCTTGAGGTACCTTTTGCGATCGAGAACTTATGCACTTGAGTTTTTGGTATTTTGGTATTCCCAGAGCTTAGGGTTTGACATGACGCCTTGCTTGTGTTGATTATCTATATAGAAATTGTATGCAAACTCTGCAAACAAATCGGTTCATATTTGTTTCCCCCCATTCCCTTGAGCGCATGGCCACCAAGTAACCTCTTGGAGGTTCTGTCAAGATCCGCTTCGCTTCGCGGGTTCAAGGGACTCGAGCGACAGGGCGAGCATGACCACACCGCTGCTGCCGCCTGTGCGAGTCTCAGCCTTCCAATTTTGGGAGCCCTAGTTGTTTTGCCCAACTCAAAGGGCGCCTCTGGGGCCCGAAAGCTCAGGGATGGCCCTTTGAAAGTGCAAACCGTTCCCCCCAAAGACCCTCTCAAGGGCGTGTTTGGCGGTATTTGGCCTTGTTTGACCTGGTTTCTTCCTAGTAAGGCTTGTGAAGCTGCAACCCTTGGTCGTTGTGTAGTATAGGATCTACGACCCAACATCGACTGCCTGAGAGAGGCCTGATTATGCAAGTGTCCTTTGGGGGTGATGTTAGGTTTGACGTCTAGTAAAAGCACTGACCTTCTGGTTGGGATACCCTGTTTTCCCCTACTTGATGCCGGGCAAGAAACCGAGGCAAATGCAATTTTTCAAACTACCGGGCGCAACCCAACTACTTCTGCATCCTGTGTTTCACGGCCTGCATAGTATCTGCTGGGTGGGGGTTGGAAATCTAGTTCATTTTCCAGCCGACGAGAAAGTGCTGCAATTAGCGTAGATACACTATTTGCTACA